GAGATAGAAATGAGATAGTGGGAACGCTATTTTCAACTATTTGGTCAACAAATATAACCAGAACCAAAAAACAATGCGATTATAATTCAAGAAAAAACCATAGATTTCGGTTCGTTTCAGATTCAAAGCGGTATATACAACTTCTCACTAAACAGCTCATAGCTAAAGTGGAAATCCAACGCGAAACTATAAAACGCACTCATTAAAAATTCAAATTGCAAACAACAACAAAACCACAAAAAAACAAACCAAAAATCGGAAGTGCCAAGCAAGGAGATACCCTATACGTTGTTTCAGATTGCTTTAACAAAAATGTACAACTATTGTAGACCGAAACACAAGCATAATTACGGCAGCCACTACACTTCTTCCCTCAGCCCCATACTATATAAAATATATATACATTCTAGTCCAATCTTTATGATATGCATAAGCCACAAAGCAAGATTATACTTTTGAACTGTTTTTGTTTTGTTTTCATACATGCATTAAAACCCTTGCACTCATAATTACAAGATATGTTGTCGATACTAATCGATTGCGAAAAATATGTGTAGTATTCCAGATAACTTCAGATCAACGCGTGGGTATAGTCAGACAGCTAAACAGACAGACTGATGCAGTCAGAGATGGGCATGGCTTTCATCATTGATCGAGATTATGTATACTTTACCTTTCTGTTAACCAAATACAGGGTATGAAAAGCCAACAAGAGCAATACAGTGCATGAAAAATGAAAACTCTGCTCAGAGCTGTTATTGCACCGGCATAAAGAGCAGAGCGTAAAATTCTTGTTTTCCCCAAAACACACACACAACACACGGACACAACACAGACGGCTGACGGCGTTTTCTGATGCTGTTATTGTTGTACTCAGGGCTAGAAAAACTTTTTCAGCATATGGCGGCCGCCCATTGCAAGTCAGTTGTGGGTGTAAGGGGTATGTGGGTGTGGGTGTGTGTGTGTGTGTGTGTGTGTGTGTGTGTGTGTGTGTTGGTGTGCCAACTTTAGTGCAAGGAAAGGAAATGCTTGACATGTCTTGCTCGTTCTGCTTCCTCTTTTATGTTATTTTATTTATTTTCACATTTTTGATTCTTTTTTTTTTTTTTTATTTTGTTTTTTTTTTTTTGTTCTCAACATTTTAATTATTTATTTCATGAATGTTTTTAATCTTCCGGTTGCCTTTCTCTTAACTTTTGTGTGTTCGCAGCCGTTGTGCTTAGCTTTTCTTTTATCGCCTTTGAGGACATGCATCTCCGTCTTGTCAAACGTATTTCATCTCAATAATGATATAATTCATAATTTCTTTGTGAATCGCCCCCGCACAAAAAGTGCCAAATTAATAATAACAATAAATTGTCTGATTTATTTAACACAATTAATGTCCATTTTTATTTGGTTTATGTTGCGTTCATTGAACGTAGATTCGAGGCCAAGATATTCTGACTTATTGACGCATAAAATTGCCGGTTGTTTGGTTTAATTGTCGCAAGAGACATTTCATTTATTAATCGACTACCCAATAAAATTTGTGTGTGTACATGCGTGCATATATATTAAATCGTATGATTCCGAAATATGTGTGTATATAGTGCAAAGATTTGAACAAACGAGTGTTTTCAGTTGTGAGATACTATCAAAAGTTCAACCAATTTTTCAAACTTTAGGTACATAGCTCAAAAAAAAGTTTTCTGTACCAGGAAAAATTGCATTTGTTATTTGTTATTTGTTTGTTTGTGAATACTTGGTAAACATTTGTGAGTTGCCTAGCGCATTTTCTTCTGCTATTGTGCAAAATTTTAATGATCAAGCTTTTAATATTTTTTACAATATTGTAAAACCATCGGGTGAATAGCCGCTAGTCAGAATACTTTGCTTATTGTTATGCAATGTTCCCTGCATATATGAAAGTACTAAGTTTGTCTTAATTCATATTTCAAGGTGCATTCATGAGTTTTCAATATTAAACTGCCGCGACATTGCCCATCTGCGTTTTTGTTAGGCCAATGAAATATTCCTCACGCATGAATACAATCGTTGGCTTCTCACCCACCCATTTAATAATATTGAATATTCAAATACACCGATTGTAAGGTATTTGCTAAGAAACAATTGTACGAGCGAAAAAATAATGTTCGAACTTCTTAAAAAGATAACATAAAATCGAAATTATGATATGTCTGCCTTCTCTTCGTGTCTTCCGTCTTGATTAATTGATTAGGGCTTGGCATATAAGTATTTCATTATTATTATTTTGCTGTTTTCTTAAATTCATTACTTGTTAATTTCTAAAGGACTCTGAAAGTTGGTTACACTTCAGTCAATCAGTCAAATATGGCTGAATAACAACAGCAAATTAATTGGTTTAACAGTGGATAAAAATTCTTTTAATGGAATCGTCCTTAAATATTGATACGTTAATTTGTGTGTCCATGCAAAAGCACCGCAAATACAAATAATTTGTCAGAGATTCCATTTAATTATATTAAGGAATCGATTTATTTTTGCAGACCAACAACATCAACCACAAATTTTTTATCGACAGTTTATGGTCATTGAAAAATTTATGCGATTAAATGGAACGATTTTCGCTTGGATTAATGTGGTCATCAGTGCAAGAACGATATATCTCTGTTAAGGGCAATGCCAATTTGAATGTTTGAGGATTCTACAACAGGGAATGTACGACAGGGATGTGGAACTCTTATAGCAGCAAATGTGGCGCTCAACTTGACCCAGATATAACATTTCATTTGCATATTTATATGGCCGCCTGTTATAATTCGTATTGTCATTGTTGTTGTGGCTCTGGCTGTCGTTCCTCCTGCTCTGAGGGTACCAGCATTGGTAAACAAAAAAAAAAAAAAAAAAAAAAGGAAAATATTTTCCCTTGACGTAAACGACAACGATGCAAGAAATTCCAAACTGACGGAAAAGCGAGCGCAGATATTTTAGCAACTTTGCCTTGGTATGCCATGGCATGGCACAGCATGGGTTGGGATAAGATGAGATGAAGCAGGGGGAGGTGAGAGGAAAATGCGTTGCTCGTGTTTATCTCTGATGGCTGTCTGTCCAACTTTGGCTCCTCTGGCCGGTGCGCTCATTGCTTGGCACGTAGTTAGTTGTTGCGCTATCTGCCCAATGACATGTGCTGAGTTCTGTGTGCCAAAAAACAAGAACACTGGACGCCGCCAATTGTTATTGTATCTTGCAGATACACAAATTGAATTGCCTGAAGTGAAAATGAACGAGCAGAGTTCAGCGCACTTTAAAAACTGTTCGTTGCACCGCACAACCGCTCAAAGAACCCCAGAAGCCGCAAGATAGATGAGCGCTAATACAATTGCGTGCCGAGATTAATTTATTTATTCCTGTTGAGCACGCGCCCCCAACGCATTTGTAATGCATGTGCCAGTATCTCAAAGATAAACCCAGTATTATACGGTGTGACGTGTGTGTGTGTGTGTGTATATATGTCTGGCTGTCTGTGAGTGAGAGTGTGACTCGTGCCAGGCACTGCACATGGCTTGCAGCGGATGTCTTTACTGCTGCCTGGCGTGCTACTTGTGTGTATAGCTCGTGTTTCTTGGGTTACTCTTAACTGTTGGTCTGCTTGGTTTCGTACTGATGTCTGCAATAGACAGTAAGAGATATGTCCGATTCCATAAAGTTTCTTGATTGGTACCAATATCAGATCGTCCCTAAGTTCTCAAGTTAATGTCAATTATTTAGTTAATTATATAAGTAAAATTATATATAATTTTATTTTAACTTATATGTTTAGTCGAAAAATGATTTTTGTGTGGAAAATGGTTTTCTTTTAAGATATATTAGTAATATCACTTGGCGACAAATCCATGTTAAATCATATATATAATAATTTAAGAAAAACAATTTGTTGGAGGGTGTTTATTCATCGAAGATGTTCTTTCTTGTTCTGCTCTGTTTGTATATGTGTTCGTTTGTTTTGGTTACACTCTAGTTTAGCGGCCATCAAGTGCACATTTATAATTGGAGCATTGCCAAGCAACGTGCATGTCGATCCCTTCTGTGGGGCATTGCTCCGCTTCTAAGTCATAACTGTCACAGACAAGTGCTTAGATTCTCAAACTTACTTGCATAAGTATTCATGTTTGTGCATGTAGTACATTGTACTTGTATCTTATAGCTTCGCTCCTGCGCAAGGCTGACGGATTAGTGTTCTAAAATCTGTAACGAAACAAACACAAGGCGGGTACATCAGGGTGACATCGATATTAGCGTCCAGTGCGAGTCGTTCACTTGACCGTTGTGCGCCACTCCCATCCACCCCTGCCATGCCTCGCCTGATGCAGCTTTAAGCATGACAGGGCATAGAGTCAGACAAACTGGCATACTAATATATTTGGGGTGTTAGACGTTAGTCTGGTCATGAAGCTAAATCTGTATAAATAGCCGTGCTTATACTTGGCTGAATTTATGTTATCCCAGCTGATGATATTTAATTTGGTTCTTTCTTAAAAATTACAATTTTAATTTTTAAAAACAATAATTTGGTTTTAAAATATACTAAATATTATAAAAGATATACATTTAATGGACACCTAATGTTTCTTATCTTGGGTTTTAATTTTAATTTAAACTTCATCACAAGTATCTTACATAATGTATACTTGTAAACAAAAGATTGTAACTAATCTCATGGTACTAATCCTTTGTACTCGGAATGCAAATTTAAGCTTTGGCAAATCTGCTCGTCTTGCAACTAATTTGTTGCCTTGCCTTAGCGTTATCAAAAACTAGGTCGAGTATGGATTTGTGAAGGCCCTGTCATGCTGGCGCTGGTTTCATCTCGTTGGCGCATCGTGGATAATTAATTGATTGTCCGTTTGATTGAACGTTTGATGGATGAGTGCGGCGACATGTGTGCTCTGTTTTTGCTCATGGCAAACTACATATTTGCTTTTGGTACAAGTGAACCATATACTAACAGACCTGCCCTTTTTCTGTTTCATTTGCAGTAATTTGACTCGACAACAGGCACAGCCACAACCACAGCCACAGCCACAGCCACAGCCATAGCCATGGTGATAAGCAAACCCGACTCGTCGACAAATGGGGCGCCGGCGGAAGCGGCTGCAGGTGCAGCTGCAGGTCTGGATGCTTCTGCGAATAGCATGGGACATAGGTCGGGCATACCACAGGACCAAATAGACAATATTTTGAGTGGCATATCCAACACGGGGGATGTCAAAATGAACAATCATCGCAAGAAGCTGCGGCAAAGGTAATTAATTTTTCCCATGCCAATTTAAATACTACAGTTTCATGATTCTTGCAGATTTGATATTATTAAAAAGTTGGGTCAAGGCACATATGGCAAAGTGCAGCTTGGTATTAATAAGGAAACGGGCCAGGAGGTGGCCATCAAAACGATAAAGAAATGTAAAATCGAGGCTGAGGCAGATCTCGTGCGCATTCGGCGAGAGGTGCAAATCATGAGCTCAGTGCAGCATCCCAACATTATACACATATATGAAGGTAATCAATTCTTCCACGTGGAACACTATACAACATTATATTTATATTAATAAGAGTAACTCACTTACAGTATTTGAGAATCGCGAGAAAATGGTGCTGGTCATGGAGTTTGCCGCTGGCGGTGAGCTATACGACTACCTGTCCGAACGCAAGGTGCTTAGCGAGGAGGAAGCACGTCGCATCTTTCGTCAGGTGGCTACGGCCGTCTACTATTGTCACAAACACAAGATATGCCATCGCGATCTGAAGCTGGAAAATATACTGCTCGATGAACAGGGCAATGCCAAGGTAACATTCGGATACTAAAATCTTACAATTCATAATTAGACATTGAAACCTATTTTAAATATACCCTATACCTAATTTGAGATATATACCATATAAATATCGTGTTATTTATATGGATTAAATGTTTCATTTAGTTAGCTAATGAGTAGCTAGTCCACATTTAATCCTTTGGAGTATTTGTAAATTCTTCTCTTACAGATTGCCGACTTTGGCCTGTCTAATGTGTTCGACGATCAGCGCCTGCTCGGAACTTTCTGCGGATCACCATTGTATGCCTCGCCGGAGATTGTAGAAGGCACACCCTACCAGGGACCCGAGGTGGACTGCTGGTCCTTGGGCGTGCTGCTCTATACTCTAGTCTATGGTTCCATGCCCTTTGATGGTTCCAATTTCAAAAGACTTGTCAAACAGATCAGCCAGGGCGACTACTATGAGCCACGCAAGCCGTCGCGTGCTTCGACACTCATTCGGGAAATGTTAACGGTGTCTCCACAGAAGCGAGCCACCATCGAGCAAATTTGCTCGCATTGGTGGGTGAACGAGAACGACAATGTCTCCTGCCTTGATTTGGCTGAGGATTTGGCTAATCAAACGCCGGTACGCCTCGATGTACTCCTGTCACTGACACCTGCTGCCATTACCGCAGATCAGCTCGTGGTACCATCAGCAGAGGGCGCAGCTGCCGCAGCAGCAGCCGCTAAGGCTGCGGCCAATGAGCGCGTTCAACGCTCGCATTCGGTGGGCTCTATACGTGATATTGGTGGGCCCAACACAGAGGCAGAGCGCCGCATTCTTGACATGGTTGCTGGTGAGTTGAATCGAATATCGAATGCTAAATTCATCATGCTTGTAATGACCATAAGACCCTAGAGCTCCTCCGTGCACAATTTTGTATATATTTGTATATTGTAAAGTGCTGTGAACTAACTTGGCATACACAACAATGTGCCCTGTCCACCAACTAACTAACTGCTGCTCATGCGGGTTCCCTGTTCCAACTCCGTTACCCACCTAACGATCAAATGGACCACACTCAAGTGCACTAAACAACTTGAAACCAAATTCATTTAACCACACTCATTAAACCACGCCTCCCTTTCTCTCTCTCTCTCTCTCTCTCCCTTTGTCTCTTTCTTTCTTCTGGGCGTGATAATTACGCTTTCCTAGCTGGTGGTGAAGCTGCACTGATGCCTTCACCCACACGCACCATAACACCCGCCCAGAGCCCCGTGCAAGCCAAGCGCAAGCTGCAGCCCACGGTTTCCACCGAGAACGCTGCCGGCACCACAGCCAAAAAGAAGGAGAAGCCGGCCAACAGTTCATTTGTGGTCAGCGAAGCCACAGCACAATCACTTGCGCCACCAACACCAACTGCACCACTTACACCAACACCAATAACGGCGCCCCAGGCTATGGAGACTGAGAGCTTTACCCCTGCTGACGAGCAGTCAACGTCCACGACGGCGCCCAGCTACTCGCCACAGGATATGCAGCAAGTTGGCAATCTATGCGAGCAACTTATTAGCGAACCTGTTGCACCACTCGCCAATGCGTTACCGCGACAGTCAACACGTCCCAAACTAGATGCGGTGGTAGAAACACCCGAGGAGAAGGACGCCACCAAAGTGATAAAAAAATTTGTGAACAAACACAAGACCGCCGATTTGGTGAATGCGATCAATGAGAGTGCCACAGGAAAAGCCACGACCAGCAGCAATTCTGCATCGCAGCCGCCCCCCCTAGCACCCTTCGTCCGTAAGTGTAGCCTGCAGGATGAGTCCACACTCAACAAGTTCAATGCGGATCGTCGCAAGTCACGCATCCTAGAAACAGCAGAGAAGTTTCAACCGCCGCCTCCAATATCGACAGCGCCAGAGAAGCCTAAAAAGCTCAGCATACCCGGCGTTAGCGTAGGCAGTTTTAAGAAGGAGTTCGAGCGCAAGGCCATAAACCCGACTCCTGTGGCCGGACCCACACCAGGTGAGCGTCGCGCTCTGGAGCAGGTGGCCGCCGCAGCTGCTGCGGCTCAAGAGGCTGAGGCACAGGAAGCCTTGGTCACTCCACCACCTTCGCCAGTAGTGTCTGGAAACCTAGAGGCCAGCGATTCCAAGAACTCCGTGACCTCCATTTCGCTTGAAGAGGCGCGTCGCTCTATGGAGAACTCGATTGCGCTGCTGCAACAGGCTCAGAACGAGTCCAACAAGGAACTGGACCAGCTCTGCGCCCAAACAGAGACAATTGGCGTTAGCGAAATAACAGCGGAGGAGCGCGAGCGTAAGTTGAAGAATGCACGCGCCATAATCGGAAACGCCATACAGCCGGGTAAGTGGCCAATGCCAATGCATGTCCATATATGATAATATCTGATAATGATAAACTAAGCTAAGCCCGCAGCGCTTTCGAGTTGACTACCAGCACTTCTTTATACATTACCAAGCAATTGCGTCAAGCACAAGTCTAGCGGCTAAGCAGTTAAGCGAATTCTTAGAACGCACACTCAGCAAATTGATTAGCGATAATCTTATTCAGAATTTAAATTCGAAATTTATCCCAATTTTACGTTTTCTATCGCTTTGGGGAACCACTTTGAATGTGTATCCTTATATTAGGCTAAGATCCTCAAGATATCTGCATTCTGAATCACAATTTCATCTAATTCTACGCATGAGGTTCTTGACAGATTTGATAAGGTATCTACAGCAATAACAGCTACATACAATTGCAATATTTTTTCTCCAGATTAAAAGACCGATGTCCTTAAATTCTAAACATTTACAATTGATATATATTTATTTCTGTTGTTGACAATTTTTATTTGTTTTTTATTTTCTTTAAACCCTTATTAACTGCAACTTCTTGGAAATAGAAAGTAAAACGGATAAATGAAATGATTTTGAATAACAAAAGACAAATAACAGATATAATTGCTAAAAAAAAAATGACTAACATATATAAATTTCGATTGCTTACTTTGAATTTTCTTAAAAGCAAATCATTCACATAAATGTCACCAATTCAGGAAAGGTCTCAAAGAATTTAAGACAGATTTTTTGAATGGATTTCATAGCATTTCACTTACAAAATAAATGATAAAATGTCTCCTCTATGACAGTGAATGGAAAACTTTTAAATGATTAAACCGTTCTTATCTGCTTACTGATCGAGACTTGTGCATAGCTTTCAGTTGATGCGTCTTGTATTTCCAAATATTTACATAACTATCTCCCCACTGTCGATGTGTATGTAAAACCGTTTGCCAGCGGAGTGCTGCATGGATTATATTTGGCTTTTGGAATATAATCTGATACACTCACAATTACAAATTGAACCGATTCCAAATGCAACTCGCTTGGTCATGCCAACAGATCATAGTCCCAAAGTAAACAGAGCACATGCCAAACTCATTTCTGTACTGATCATTGTCTCAGATTCACCTGTCCACTCTCTCTCTCTCTCTCTCTCTCTCCCTCTCTCAGTCTGTCTTTCTGCTCTCTCTTGCTCTTTAGCATTCACTCGCATAGCACAAGCACATACATCCACATACATTCTCATCATATTCATTGAATCATCATCTTAATTTTAGTGATACGCAGGCCAACACCATTATTTGGCATCGGCAATGGCTTCGGCAGTGGCGCTGGCGCCGGCGGAATTGGGGGCGGTGCAATGTTACCGTTGCGCACTGAGAGCAGCAACAATTTCACTGGCAATGTTAGCAGCAGTCCAACCAGTGCGCCACCAATTGCTTTAGCAGCTGCTAAGCATATGATACAACAGCGACTCTTTTCGGGCGGCGTTCCTGGAGGGGCGATATCGACGCCACCACGGGCGGTCATTTGGCAGCCACAAACGGCGTATAGCACGGCAAGCATATTCCAGCCGTTGCCCACAAGCAGTCCATTCAGGCAACTGCAGCAGCAGTACCAGCAGAAGTGCCAGGAGGCACAGCAGCATCAGCGATTTGCCAGCAGTGCCTTATTTACGCCACCGCCCTCGCCGCTGTATGCCCCCAGCCATGCCCACGTCCATGCCAGCAGCAACAGCAACAACAATACGATGCCAATTATCAATTACAATGTCAGCTCGCGTACGAGACCATTTCATAATCAAGCTCAAGACACTCTTAATACATCTGCCTTGCCTGCGGCTATGTGGCTGAAATGTAAGTCTTGGCAGTGGCTCCACAGTGCCACGCGACGCCCAACTGCACACCTACCCACCTATCTGCTTGCCCGCCTGCCTGCCCTGCCCTGCCCTGCTCTGCCCTGCCGTCAACCAAATCCGTTCCGTTCCCGTTGCGTTACCTAGCAGCTGCCTTGAGGCTGGTTACCTATTGATACCTCAAACTCACCAACATATGAATCAGATATTTAGATAAAAGGAAATAGCTTAACCAGCGCCATAGCATCTAGCGTTTTGTGTGTGTTCCTTTGTAGTCTCTGTTTCTCTCAATCACTGTCACCGAATTGGCCTTTCTTGTTGCCGTTGTCGGTGTCGTTGCTCTGCTTTCTGTTAACCCATAAATGGAACTCACAACAAACCCGATCTGAAACTAAAGCTAATTATCTTTGCTGCTCGTAGAATTGTTTCGCTCTTCTTTGCTGTTGTTGCTGTCTTTGTTGTTGTTGTTGTTGTTGTTGTTGTCGTTGTCGTTGTCGTTGTTGTTCTTGTTGCTCTTTGTTGTTAGTACATATTCGTATCTGTAGCCGCCTTAGCTGCCGCTAGTCACTGCCGCTGCAACTTAACCATCTACAAATAAGCGCGCGAACACCCACACACACACACACACACGCACACACACAAACACACACACAATCACAAGCAATTACACGCTTAACAATCGATTGTTTGGTCCTTGAATACTTCCAAGCCAGCAACCAACCCACAAGTTGCCATATCTATGCTTCTTGCTTAATTGTTCGTTTCCCAACAGGCCAGGCGCACTATGAAACCGATTAACTAAATGTTTAATAAACTTTAAAATCCCATATACACAGCTTCACCGGGCGGCGATGCCTCATTAGGCAGCGCAGTGAAAACGTCTACCGCATCCATTACGCTCAAATCAGCGACGTTGCCACGTCGCAAAATTAATGCCAAATCAGAGGTGCAGCTGGAAATCAAGCCGCGTATTCCTGAGCAGCCGCAGCCGGCGATGCGCTTCAGCACCGAAATGCAGCATCCAGTGGCTGATTTGCGCAGTGCGCCACCTCGCGAGGGTCCCATACCATACAGTCCCATCAAGACCTCACTGCAGGCGCGAGCCACAAGCTTAGAGCCCAAAGAGCACATCATAACCATACAGCGGCCACCAACACAGCAAGCTTATGGACGCACCAACTCCAACACCACAAATCGGTGAGTGGAACTGCGAGAAATCCACATTCGATAATAATTGTAACTCCTTGCAGTTCTGGTTCGCTGTCACGTCAATCCACTGCTGAATCCGAGACGGAAACAGCAACGACCATGTCGCAATCAACTGTTACTGGCGGTTCGGGCATCTCGCAGCCTATTAAGAAGAGTCCACGCGAAGTAATTATACCGATTTCCGTGGAGGGTAGAGGCTTAATCACGCCACGTGAGCGCAGCATTGAGCCTTCCGAGTCAGTTCACACAACCGCCTCCAGTCGCTCAACATTCAGCCGACTGCGTCCATCGCATCGGATTGGGTAAGGTTCAGTAGGCAGCAAACTTGTCCAATTTTGTTTAAGTGTCTTAAACTTTGTTTACAGCTCACTCCTCAGTGAGAGCGGGTTCGATGAGAGTTCGCCATTCCAGAAGATGCGCACAACTTCTATTACTCGTGATGGCGGCGATGATGAGTCGCTTTTTACCCCGCACAGACTTAGGTTTGCAAAAACAGATTATGCCTTTCAGTTCATGAGTATTTATCAGAATGTTGCATTTTACTTTATTTTCAATAACGTAGGAGCTCGAGGCCAGTCAAGAAAATTAGCCAGGACAACGATTCTCAAAGCTCTGGCGAGGAGGATGACGACGATGGTTTCGAGATACTAACCGCGGAGAACTTATTCTCGACTTTGCTGCAACGTGTAAGTTGATATATTATGCCCGTTGAAAATATAACGTTATATATACATGTTGCACCCACTGATCATATTCCATTTTCAGGTGCGTGCTGTTACGAATCGCATGAACGTCAACAGTGACCTTACAGCCGGATTTCCCAGTCATTCTAGTCGCCTGCTAACGGATATCTCGCGGCAGGCACAAGGCCATAGGTCCTTCTGGGGTCAGGGCAGTCCCTTCGGCAGGTGAGTGATTGACGATAAGGCCTAAAGAGAGAATCCAATCATTTCAATACACAACATACCCAGTTATGTATAACAAGTTTTATAATGCTTATGAACGTTAACAATTACAATGATTTTGTTATAAATCTTTTACATGCTGCTCTCGAAATATTAAAACCTTAAATAACAACTCCAATCATTTGATTTGATAAACATTCAACTAACAACAAACAAAAGCGAGCATAGGTCACAAGTCAGTTATAGCTATACCCAAACGGTAGAAAAAAAGCAAGTGTAAGTATACAAAGTGGGAGCTAAAGGGGCACAGATAATAATACTTCAACTATTGTCAACTATCATCTATCGACAAGTATAACTAAATATTAAAGTACTACATACACCCAGCTATATCCGCCTATGTTTCTTAGGTGCAGACAACGTTTGCTAAAGGTCTTAAGCATTACGAGCCGCATACGCAATTGGTTGATTGATTGGCCTGGTTCCAAATGCTGCCTGTAAGTTGGCCTATTCAATGTGCAAGTCCTTTAGCTAAACGTTGTCCGACATTCCTCACAATCACAAATGCATTCAAATGTGTTATGCACGCAAACACATGCTTGTGTATAGGTATGTGCCTATAATAATCTTGGCTGGGTCTCTTCTCTCTCTTTGACAGCCGCCTCAACAGCGCCGGCAACAGCAGCGGTCTCGGTGCACCCTGGCGTCACAGCATGTCCCGGGACTTGGGTAGCGAAATGGAGTCGATGTTCTCACGCACGGGCGCCACGCTGCCAAGAGGTGAATATCACAGAATAAAGAGTAAATATTTAGATCAGTAGGCAGACAACAGGCAACAGATACCAAGCGAACCGAAGCGAAGCAACTGCAATTCTCGATGCGAACACAACGTAAATCATAAAAATATCAGATCCAAAAGTATGCTACGTAAATAAGAAATTTCAATTTCGATATATACTTGTATACACATTTCTAGTAGTTGTTGATGTATTCTAAAAACAAAACATAAACAAAAACAAAAAAACAGAAACAAATCAACAAAAAAAAAAAATGAAAAAAAAAAACACAAACAAAGCAAACAAAACAAATCAAGTGAATACCTACTACTACTACTACTACTACTACTACTACTACATATATCTACTTATTTAGTATATACAAGTTTGTGCAGCCTGAATACAACCCCTAAAAACCAACAAAAAAAAAACAAAAAAACAACAAACATAAGCAATTAATTAAGTGTTTACTGTAATTATCAAATGAAAATGCCAATTAATACTTTGACAAATCCTTTTCTGTTCGATTATGAATTATTTTTATTTATTTATTTTTTTCAATATTCTGTGTGCGCACATCTCTTTAATAGCATATCCATCTAAATGAGATGCGAAACTATCAAAAGTAGTACTCTATCTATCTATCTACCTATTTCTCTATCTATGTTTATCTATCCAGTATATCTATATTTTTATCTATCTATATATCTTATTTATTGATCTATTGCTACCTGTCCTAGAGCACAATAACTTTTGTTATTAACCTTTAATGCTGCTGCCGCTTTACAATTTACAAACATACAAACATAATATGTATCTACATATATACATACATATATTGCTATATACCTCTTGAAAGAGTCATGTCTAGGCTCTCGTAGCCCAACGAATCCAGCCGACTCAGTTAAATGTTTTCTGCGTAATGTTTGCACAGTTTTTTGTTTATTTATTTATCTATTTATTTTTGTTTTATTTGATATTATTTTCATTATTTGCTTAACCAGATTTTCTTATTATTTAATTAAGTATTAAAATGTTATGCAATATTGCAATGATGATAGAAAAAATGTCAAAGGTCGAATGAGATATGAAATCGTATTCAAAGTTTTGAATATCTGCGCAATTATATAGTTATTTATATAGAATTTTTAGCTTGGCCAATTAAACAAAATGCTCAACAAAATATAAGTATGTACATATATACATACACATATATGTATATATATATTTATATGTTTTACAGCTACAAAAATTGTACACACAAATTGAATTAGGAACAACAGAATTTGGCAAATACACGAAATTTCAATTCATTTACATTTACTCGTATGTTATTAAAAATTGTTCAAGGAAAAAAAATTGAAGAAAATATAATAATAATATTAAATTGTTGACAACAAACAAGAAAGGATATGTAATTAATCTTAACAACAAGCCAAGAAGCCCGAGCGGCTAAACGGCTACAAATTTAACACATAAATAATCTTATTACATTTTACAGTGAAAACAATTTTGATGACAATAAAGCGATCCACTTTTGTTTTGATTATATAGAAACAAACGAATCCAAATCAAATACAGATGAAGAAAAAATAAACCATGGCTCTTTTATTTGCAATTACAAGAAAAATCGTTTGACAACCAAAAGAATTTTGTTAAATAAATATCTACATATACATACATAATACTATAATTATTGTTGTACAGTTTGCAAATGGCCCCGCTACCTTAAATTTGTTTTAGTTTTACATATATTTATAAAAAATTATAATTTTTTTTTTACCATAAACAACAACCAAAAAAAAACAAAAGGAAAATGCGCTAACCAAGCAAGTTGTTTGAGTTCCAAAGTTCTTGTTTATGTTTTTAGTTTAATAATAATTAAACCAAATTTGTGTTGTACAAGAAATTAATTTATAACACCACTAAGCACACGCACACACACACACACACACACACACACACACACATATATATATATATATATATACACTAGCCCACACATGCATTTGAAGCTTATCGATGTAGTTAATTTTGTTCACGCTGTTTAATGCTGTGTTTAAGCTGATCAGCCACAATCACAAGCACAACCAAACCCAAAATAAAAACCCAAAACCGCAACAACAACAATAACTAACTTGGTAGAAACACCAAACAAAACTTAAAATCGAAATTCAAAACAAAACCAAAAACAAGTTTCTGAGTTCTGGGCTATTTTTAATCAACAAGAAAAAATGTATTTAATACGAATTTATTTAAAGCAATTGATATAATGTAAACAAAAAACTATGATTCTTATCCAATAATAAACAGGATACGCTGTTTGAATAATTTTAGCAAAGTTAAGAACAACTTAAACTAAAAAAAAAAATGTCCAAAACTTTGAATACGATAATGTACAAAAATGTTCAGCTACTAATTGTTGTCATTATTCAGAAGAAGAGCAAACATATTTTCTTATCATCAGCAAACAACACAAACTTTCAGCTGCTCTATATTTGTTGTTGTTTTATTTATTTATTTACTTTTATTTTATTTTTATTTTTTCTTGAAAGCCTTAACGCACTGCAACTTTCATTGTCATACCTTTGTAGGCGCCGCTAACTTGGCATATATTATTAATATAACATATTTTGTTGGTTTAATGATTATTTGATTATTTGCAATTTGTTGGCCGTTTACAACATTTCATGCTTATTTCGTTTACAGTTGGTTTATCCTTAACTTCTACCACGCCCACAAAGCATGTTATAACCATTAACAACAGTCCGTTAAATACCACCATCACCAATGCCAATACCAATACAAATACCAATACCAAAAGCAACTCGCAACTGCAACCCGAAATGGTGGCAACGGCCACAAGAAAATCACGAAAAGTCGCCGTCGCCATCGCCACAGCTCCGCAGTTAACCATCAGCCGGGAACAGAGTAAACAAATGCCACCCAAGACAGCAAAAACCATCAGCACTACCACAACAGCCACAATCACAACCACAAGAAACCTCAAGAAGCCATAAGGCGAACAATGCAAACAAGCAAATGCTGATACAAATGCAAATGTTGATGCTGGTATTTTGCGTGGCAGCAACTGGCAAAATTATTTACCTTTTGTATTTCAGTATTGAATTTCACATAGATGTTTGTTTGGTTGATTGTTTAAATATTCACCTTTAACAATTTTGTCGAACGCATTTAATAAGCCACACATTTAACGTTCAGTATGCGCCCAAGGGGATACTGCAATAAACGTAGCAAATGCTATTACCTAAACGCTTATTTAAGCTAAAAGCACATTAACTTTATATTTTGTTTGTTTTGTTAAACTAAAAGCAAATTAAAAATTATTCCAAATTTGGCGATTGTCAATGAGAAAGTGAGAATGTGAGAATGAAGAGAGAAAGAGAAGAGTGCTCGTAGCAAAGATGATTGTTATAAGTACTAGCACTTGACACTAATTGTGATTTAAATTAATATTAAAAAGTTTTAGTTATTTATGTAAATGCTCAATTTGAGTTTGATTTAAGATATTCACAGTTAAACCTAAAACTACAAACAATAATCATCAATTGACATCATTTTTCAAGTCATTTACTGAACTCGAACAGGTTATTTGTCCAGCGCAAAGGCTGCTTCAAGCATTCAGCATTACAACTAAGCAATATTTTTATATGCATTCATACATACTCTTACATAACTACATTTAAAGACTAAAACTATTTTATATGCCGATTTGCAAATGAAATAATAAACATCATTTAACTTGATATATTGCAAAATACATAAAAACAAAACGAAAAAACCCAACAAATTGTTATTTTTTATGTCCTCCTGCACGTGAGTTAATCATTGTTATTGATTGGAACGAATTTGATATTGTTGTATGTTACTATTATAATCTATTTTTTTTTTTTATATAATTGCTTTAACGAGCTAACCCCGCTATGTTACTCTAGATCGATCCAGTGTGCAAAGTTCTTTTGGTTGCAAACATACAAAATGTTTACAGGTACTTCTGGACACCGACATGGAGTACAGGTACTCAGTTATGTAAGATGCTTGAATTGTGTGCACTGCAGCGAGGTGGGTAAGCTTGCATATTGGCCCAACAGCATTTAGCTCACTCCGTGGCGGGAGCCTATGGTTCAGGCTGCTCGAGACTTAAGCGACACCTTTACATCTACCATTCACAGGTCATCACTTCAGAAGCGGTGCCAACAAACCTCGATCACCGTCAGCCAATGTGGAGAATGGAGACGCCCAGAACACTATATATGCGACTGCAACAGTTGGCACTGACGAAGAGCCGCTGGATCTGGCCGATTTGGATCTGTCGCGCTTGCGACTCAGCAAAAAGGATCTGGAAACGCTATCTAGCATTACCCCAGGCCTACCAAAATGCTTTCAGGAGCAGCTGCTGGCCAAGCTGCCGCCAACGCAGGCCCGCAAATTATCTCGCACGCTAAGCGTGCAGAGCGGCGCTGCAACCACCACTCCGGCCATTAAGTTGTACAAACGCAGTCAGAGCAGCGGTCGTGGATATCTGCCGGAGCAGCCAGAGGAGGATTGCTCACCCAAACCGCAAACGGATGCGCCCAAAACGACAGCAGCCAGCACAGCCATCTATCGACGCAGTTTGAGTCGAGCCCCGAGCCAGGGGCCAGCACAAGAAACTTCCGCAGCCGCATTGGCTAACAAAAGCCGCAGCAGCAGCGTATGCCGAGATGACTATGGCAAATCCTCGTTATGTAGCAGCAGCTACACTAGCGACATTAATGACAAGTATAAATACTATTCTCCATATTTGAGTAAGTCTACCAATGGAGCGGCGCTTACGAAGGAGGTGCCGGAAAAGCGTTATAGTGCTGCGGTGGGGCGTCCACCAAGCGGCTACCTATCGCCGCCGCCACAAGGTGCCAGTGTGGCCGTGGCCGACGGCAGTAGCTCCTTGCGTAGACGCTCCTCGCAGCGTCGAATCTCACGCTTTCTGCGGCCCGACTTCTTTGATGAACCACGCGAGCGTGACTCTCAAAGTGCCCTACGGGAGATACGGGAAAGATCCAGTGATCGCTTAGAAACAACGGAGCTGCACCATCGCAAGCACAGCTTGCCCAATGTGGAATCTGAAGTGGAGCCAGTACAAACAGCAAAGCGACATGCCCGCAACAAGAGCATGGAGCAGTTTTCTGATGCAGTGGAAGGACCTCTGAACGCTGCACAGCAGCCTGTGAAGAGACGAAGCCAATCACGTTCACGTGAACTTGAAACAGAACTCGATAAACACGAGCTGGCTAACAAAATACTGCAGGAGTTGCAGCTGCTGTCTTCGGTGCGCACGCAGAACGAGCACGAGCAGCGTTTATCGACGGAGCAAGCAGCTGCTGAGACGCCACGGGGTGACAAATCTGAAGAAACGTCCACCATAAAGAAATTGAAAAAAGCTAAGTCGAAGGAAAAGCAAGCTGAGCTAAACAATGACCCAGACGCCATCTCCACAACAACGACTCCGCTTGTCCGAAAAGTTAAAAAGGTGGTAAATAAAACAGCTGAATCAGAAGCAACACAAACCAATCAGTTGCCCGCACCAAAGGAGACTAAACTGAAGCGACCCAAATCATATCCCATGAAGGATCTGGGTCTAAGTCTCAAAGGTAACCCAGAGTTGCCTTTGCCCGAGTCGGCACCGTCAGCGCTGCCAAGCAAACTGCCTAGTAAACCAACCCCGTCGTCAACAGAGGCAACTACTGAACCAGCACAAAGAGAGAGCCGACTGATGCGTCCCAAGAGCTATCCAGCCACAAGGTTGACCATGCCCAAGGATTTCAGAAAGGTAACTCACAGCGGCGCCGCCATACCCAGCATAGCCGAGACTTCGCTAAAGGCGACGAGCGCATCAAATTCCAAGACCACGTCGGAAGAAAAATCATTATCAGTCACACCCACAGGTGTAACAAGCTCACTGACTGAAAAGGACACTGGCTCCTCATCTGCAGAGTCGCGTCCAACGACCACTAAGAAAATAATCAAAGCTTCCAAGAAATCCAAGCTAGTGCCGCCTACACCAGTGACTCCATCCACGCCCACAACCACATCAACAACTACACCAGCCGACAGCTCCAAGGAGTCGAGTCCGGTGATCAAATCGAAGGATAAATCGCCTGAAAAAAAAATCAGCAAGGGCCTGTTCTATGCCATAGGTCAAAAATTCGAGAAGCTCCGTGACTCAGCAATGAGCAAAGAGAAGAAAGTGAGCACGCCCAGCACAGCGCTGGCTTGCACACAGAAACAAGGCTCACCAGAGGAGCACGGCTCACTGGAGAAGTCGACATCAACGCTGCTGCAAAAGAAGAAGACCATGGATGCGGACAAGCCACAGGATGCTGCTTCAGAGGACAAGCGTGTCGACAAGCGATCGCGCTTTGACACCATGCTACGCTCGTTGCGGGAACGGTCCGTCCCACGCACACAGCCCGCTACCAGTATCAGTCCCAAGCGATCCGCCAGCGTTGAGGAGCTGCACGCCGACAGCAGCAGCAGCAGTGGAAAGCAGAGCGGCGCAGTTAACAAAATGTTAGGTGGCCTTCTGCGACGCTTTGACCGGGAGAACAGCGAACAGCGACGCGTGCGTAGCACTCGTTCTACAAGTAACATTGAGAGACAAGTGCGCGAGGAGCAGGACACATTACTTCCAACCTCGCCCATTTATCAAAATGTGGCCAAAACTAAAGCCGTGGCCGCTGAAGTGAACTGCAACTGTGACACGATCTGCCCAGACTGCGTACAAAATCAAAGCGCAAAGGGCGACAGCATTGAGACGACGACGACACCAACAACAACAACAACGACGACGACATTGACAACCCCGACGATGTCTAGCTGCAACATGCAAAGCAACAAAGAGAAACGCAAGGGTCTGATGCTGGATCTGAGCAATGCGACTAGCGGAAACGCCTCAGGAGCCACAAGTGGCGCGGCGACAACCACAACCAACACGAGTGGCAGCTACCGTGGCGCTAAGACGAACCCGGCGCTGCTCAATGGCAACGGGCTGTACTCGAATTTGCCGCCGTACCCGGGCGCCATGAAGAGCGCCTCCTCCAACAACAGCTCGAGTCAGCAATCGGTGGATAATACTACCAACAACAACTCTGTCAATACCAACAATAACTGCAGCTCACAAACTTCGGGCTATCGCACCTCGTCGGCGCACGAGATCAATCGCAATAACCTGCTGACGCCTTCGTTCGAGAACATTGCCAATTACTCTTCGGATTCGAGAAGTTACCAGGATGACTGTGCCTCGACTTCCACGTTTATGTCTCCCACCGAAGAGCCTGAATTGTACTTTGATAATTGGTCTGTTTGCTCCGAGGACAACTACATGCTGCATGCAACGCCCTCTCCGACGGTGTCACGCCTTTCCCGCGCCTCTCAGCTGTCCTCGCCTACACGCTGCTCGGAGAGCTCCGATCCCAATGAGAGTGTAATTGATCGCATTAAGCGACGCAGCTTCTACAGCCGCTTCAACGAGCAAAAGCCCAGGCGCACCAGCAGTATTGTTGGCCCCTCAGCGGTGCGGGACTATTACCGGGAACAGCAGGCAGCGGTGAAGGCGCGCTCCAGCCAAAAGTTGCATGCACCTGAAGTGGAGACACGCGCTCATTCCCCGGACATTACTCAACAGTTTTTCAGACCATTAAAGTTGAGTCCCGTCGGCACTGAGCTGAAGCCGCCCGTATATCGCTCACCGCTGGACTATGCCACCTCTGCGTCTGGTGGAGCAACTAGCAAGCCTCGAAAGAGTCTTAACGACATTCGCAACACATCGCCATCGTTCCTAAGCAGACGCTATGAGCCGCACGACTATAGCTCGGTGCCCATGCGTTACAAAAGTTCCTCCAGCTCCAGTCCCAGCAATGGCGCCGTAGGCGGCGTCAACGGCTATTACAACACATACAATCCGAAACGTCGCTCTTCATACACTCTAAACGGCACTCTGCCCTCCGGCACGGGAAGCAGCGCTGGCGCTAGCAGCCATTTGGATGGCTATGCTACACTGGGACGACGCTCCATTCGACCCTATGACCATCGCACCATGTCGTTGTTGGAACAGCCAACGACAGGCACCAGCAGCAGCAGCGCGGGTGGCAGCTACCACCGACGAGAGACTCGCACCCCAGTTCGTGACTATACCTCTAGCATTTCACGGTGAGTACTGCAGGTTTGGGCATTGTCATATGTCAGCGGCAATAAAGTTTCCATTTTTATACTTTAAAGCTCCGGATCGCGCTACCGTACCTCGTCAGCTACGCGGAGTCCCACAAATATTTGATGTTCCACACCGCAGAATGGCTTCTGCATTTTCTGCTACTACTCAAAACGAAAAAAGGCTGCTCATGTTTCGGCCAACACAACTGCCTCCTCGTCAGCCTCGGCCTCATCCTCGCGCGCCAGCAGTGGCATCAAAAAGTTGATGCAATCCGCACAGACCCATCATAATCAGCATAGGTTCTAGAAAGCCAAGCGTTTAATGCTGCCAAAGATTGGGACAGCTTAGATATGACAAATTCGAAAGCGGAGCACACATTGAGTGCACCAAATTAGACATAAATCATTTTTGATATTTTTTATATAGCCAAAGTTTAGATTTAGTGCAGATTGCGCTTGAGCTCTGCGCTTAGTTGTCCCATTAACTAATCAAATAAACATAGTGGCGTTTCAGAAATCAAAACAAAAACAAGAACTTAAGAACGTAACCGTGTAGTTCAAGAGTTAAAATGGTCTCGGTCTTAGGTTCGACCGATCATTAATGCCATATACGATTTTCAAATGATTGTGCCTTGGTTCCTTCGGCGTTTTTAGATTTAGCCCTAGACATAAAGTTGATTTAATTTATAAGCAGGGGAAGGTACAGGAGGGAATGTGGAAAAATGTTAGTTTTTTAACAGATATTTCAAAAATATTTTATATGCTATTTTTAAGAGCCTCGCGCTGAAAAATGCGTTAAAATTTTACCAATAATTTTAACTACTATTTTTTGCAACACAGAACTGAATGATTATTTGAGATATTTCGATTTGGCGATAATATGGAAGCTTTCTTTCGTTAACTAGAACTATTGATGTTATTGCAAAATAATAGAAGATACGTATAGAAATAACGAGAGTTAAAGATTCGGGTGTAGCGAAAACAAAATGCGAATTTAAAATCTAGTGGGTAGAAAATTTCAAGTAACAAAATGTAATAAAGCATGAGAGTGCAAACATTTTTAAAGATCAATAAACACCACGCATAAATACAATCATCAAGTATTAAATCTTTTTTAATCTACGGGTTCAACGTTCAACGACAAAAAAATCACTTCAGTTCTGTTTCTTTAACTTGTAGGTGGGCATAAATGGGACATAGTAGGTCCATTTCCAGCTGCGTATGGCATCCATGCCATACGGAAAATCATAATCCGTGGCGCTGCCATCATTGATGTTGTCGTCGCCCAGCGGCATCTCGTTGGCCCACTCGATAAGTCCACGCTCGGCGGGTGTGCCTGTGAGAAATTAAGTTAGTAATCTCCCAGTTTAGATGTCAATTGACCACAACTTACCGGGAATAATGTTATCCAGCAGGCAGCCCAGCAAGCCACCCACCAAAATAGTCGTGCCCAACAGCACAGATAACGTGGAGTCGACGGTTTCATTGCCCGTATTAATGGCACCCGGATGTTGTTGCATCCAGGGGCACAGCACCATGGGGAAAAATATCGACAGACCAAGAATATATAAATTTCTTGCAGAACGCAAGTCGACGTACTGCAGTGTAGAGAGGCCAAACGCTATGATCATGCCAAACATGACACAGAATATTCCTCCGACCACCGAATCAGGGATTAGAATGAATATGGCGCCAAACTTTCCAATGACGCCCTGTAGTACCATTATAAAAGCGGCCCATTGAATAACACGTCGAGAACCTATCTAGAAAAATATGAAAAGATTAGTCAGTACGCACACGTCACAAGCTCTGCTGCTCACCTTTGTCACACCTATAGCACCCACATTCTCGCCGAAAGTATTTGTGCCATTGCCAGCGCCCCAGAGGCCAGCCAGAACCGTGCCCAGGCCTTCGGTACCGATGCCGCGATTAATGGCATGTAAGGGGGGCGACTGGGCGCCTGCCATTTGCGAAACTGTAGGATAATAGCTCAAAGATTCCACAGTGCAGGCCAGCACGCCTGCGAGCATACCCAGCACTCCAGACAACGTCACTGAGGGCCATCCGAACTGGCCCGGATACGGCACATAGAACCACTTGGCACTGGTTAACACATTAATCCGCACATCTGTGCGTGATGGATGCGAAGGCGGAAACACGTCTGTGGCCGTTAGAATGCCGCAAAGGCCCCACATAATAATGATGGTCAACAGCACGGGGAACAGACGGAAGAGCTGGAACTGACGCACCTCCAAGCCGTGACCCTTTCGATAGGCAAGCACTGGAATCGTAACATCGCACATGATTTGCGAAAAAAGTGTCAGCATTCCGGTAGTCCTGTAAAAACATGTGCACTAAGAAATGGAAACTAGTTTAGTTTACCTGCTGACACTCACCCCACCGCAATGCCCCAGTGTTTCGAGGCCGTTTCCGCAGCGTGTTCGAATAGTGTCAGGCCGACCAAGGAAACTGTTGGCACAATGGTGAGCGGCGTCACATACTTTAAGATCTTGCCAACAAGTCCCGTATAACCCAATATGACCTGTACCAGCGCCGAAACTGCGATCGCTCCGGACAGCTCGCGCATCCGTATCTGCCACAACTCTTCGCGTTCCGCCTCATTCATGGCATCAAGCTTGTCTTGGGGCGGGCATTTCCATTGAGGCAACGCAAGTATGGCCAGAGTGGGCACCAGAAAAGATATAGTTCCACCCTGAACTATGGGCAAACGCACGCCCCATGTCGCTTGAAAGTAGGTAACAATGCCGGTAACAAATATCATTGTAGATATAATAATGCCACGATTGGGATCCTCATCGGACATGCACAGTGCCGGTGTTAGTATAAATGGTATTGACACAATCGCTCCGATCATCGTAAGATAATGTTGAAAGGCAAGAAATATGCTCAGATACCACTCTGAAACAGATCGATTCGAAATTACAAAACTGTTCATAAAACATAATAATAATAAGTCGCCAATTTGCTTGAATATGGGCCACAATTTACCAGGATTTTCGTTAATGGCATAAAGCAGTTTTGGCTTGGATCTCTCAGCGTGCGGCGCCGGAGGATTGGCTGTGGGCGTTGGCGCCCTGTTGGCATCATTTAGCTTGGCTGCATCGGCCTAAAACAAACAAAACTTAACTTAAGTTATAACAGCTAATTTATGCAACTAGGAAATTGAACTTATAATTATAGCATATTTAATTAAATTTCTATTGACTTATGCTAATTTCGGCTTGTTGAAAGGCATATCAGGGAGCATCATGCAGGGGAATTGCATTTTTGTTTTATTTATAAAACTTACATAAACAACCGCGATTGAATTAATTAGCATTATTTTATGGCAATATGATTAGCTAGATCGTGGGTTTTTTATGGGTAACTCCCAATACCCACTCCCCTCCGTCTTTCGAAATAATAGATAGACAGAATGTTAGCACTCGTGTTGGAATTCTGATTAATTGAGCGTGAGTTTCAGACTAGTAACTATTGAATAAATGGACGGGTCCCAGCTTGTTCGATCTTATTATATATTAATAAACCAATAAATTACAGGCCAAAATACTGGACTTGAGTTGAGTTAATAAATCACTAGCATAAATTGCTAGCTGGAAAATGTGACAAATTGCAATTAGTAAACGATGCGACAGCAAATCGCCCCTCAGGCAAACATATTCTGCTAAATAATTATGATACAGATCCCTATATTATTGGCTTCACAATGAATGAGATCAAGTTAAAAACCAAAAAAAAAAATGCATTTAACCGATAAGAATCACAACAAAAAATGGCAATTAAGGGCAATTGGCACGCAAGTTCCCTTTGAAAATTCACCACTTATGTAAACTTCTTTGAGCTGAAGATTGTATATATAAATCTACTGATTTATATATGAATAGCGGAAAAGGAAACCCCGATGCAAAATCATTGCTCAATCACTTACTGGCAATCCATCCCCAATCGCAACACTGTGAAGTTCCATAATCAGGCGGTATATAGCCTTTTGCCTGGCATCGATCGATCGATTTATACTAAACACAATGCTATCCTCGCTGCTGCAATCGTCGTGAACTGATGCAGTCGACTGCTTGGAAGAGACTGAAGAAAGAGCAAAGAAACCAGCTACAAAAAATATCGACGCCAGTGCTGGGAAAGATCTTACTTTAAGGTTGTCGAAATTTGCTCAATTGATTGTACAATCTAACTGTACAGTTAGAGCGAGAGCGTACATGGCAAGGCATTGAAGCAAAAGTAATGGCAATAGAAGAGAAGGTGATCTCTTTAGGTGTAGCTCTCATTTGATCGATTCAATTGATGAATTTTACTATTTGTATCGAGAGTGAAGAATTTGTTGCATAAATTTATATACTCCTCTACTTATTTCACTCTCATCCAAGTTATTTATAATTATTGTTGGTAAAAGATAAAAACCTTTCAAGGCAGTCAGCGGCTACTCTGTAAAAATGTCGAAAAGATCGCCATATAGATACCGCTTAATGAGCTTCATAAACCATAGTATATCTTTCGTTTTATTGGTAACGTTTTTGAGAAAAATAAACAATCATAATTTCGAACATAACATCCTACACATATACTTATCAAGTATACCATATACCGTTTTATGAAGTTATTAAAACATCAACATTTAAATTCAAAATATAAATATTCTTTTTTATCAGGTTAATTAAAATTATTTGTTGATACATATGTATATACGGTAATTGCAGGGAACCCAAATATAGTTATAAACTCATATCTTAGTACTAAGCAAATTCGGTCTTCAAGTGAAGAAAACGGCGTTCAAGTTTATATGAAAAACAGCACAGACAAAGCAGCCAAATAAGTGGACTCTGTCTGACTGAGTACCTCAACCAAAGACAATCTAAAGTGTTAATATTGTCTTTGCCTCAACCTAGGAGAATGTGTTGTTCACATTGTCTTCGTCTCAACTATTTAGCTATATTGGGTATATTCATAAAGTCAATTTCTAATTTCTTTTTACTGACAGGCAAGTGTATGAGGTTGATAAAATTACATAAAAAACATATGAAGCTTTCATCAACTTGAATTTTAACGCTGCTTTAGAGCGTATGATTTCTTACGATATACCTCACCGAAATTTAAATAAGTTTAAACGTTCTGTGTAGAGTAAACAAAAAAACAAAAGCGCTTTTGGAGAAACAAAATTTAATATGCATAGCATTTTTATTGTAAAAGTAACTCTGCACATTTTGTTTGTAAATATTTAACTAAAGAACTACATACATAGTTTAATATACATTAATTTAGTTTTGGTGGTGTTGTTAAAGTTGTGATATTTTATGCTATACACACATGGTTACTTTCAATATACCGATAGATCCATTTAATGAAGCATTTATAAAAGTTGCGATAGAAGTGTAGATTTTAAGACGGTGTTAGTGTATGCTAAAATGAAGTTTTTCTTTTCAATACACATTTTTAAGGGTGATTTATGTTTGGTAGTTTGATAAATATGTTTAATATATTTTTTAACTAATTTTTCAAAGGGATCTTCATCGATAACATTAATTAATATGTTTTTCTTTATGTAAAGCACACCAAGTTCTGTTGCAGTTGCAGTCTCTCTTACAAAATTAAACAAAACAAAAGAGCATTAAACAAAACTTATAACGATAAATAAAAGTGTCTAGTGCACGAAAGCGGCATTAAGGAGCAATTTATGGCGTGTCTTCTTCTTTATCCTGCCACACGCTGCTCTCATTCTCCGTATCACTTAGAATTTCGACCACCTCCTCTTCGCCCGTCAGCAACCCTTCATCCTTCATATCTTTGAAGAAATCAGCTGGCATAGACATATCGCTATCACCGTTGTCAACCATTAGATTCAGTTCAGGCACCAGTGAGTCATCAGTGCCCACCTGCGCATTTATCGTTGTGGTGGCTGACGTTGTAGAAGACACATCCATAGGCGGCAGCGTAGCCACCGGATTAAAAGGTGCATCTAAATCTTCCAGACCACGTGGTGGCTTTAGCTTGGCCAGCTCTTCCCGAAGATGCCGATAATGTCGACGCAACACCATTGAGTTAAAGGATATAGTGCGACTAGCGCGTTCGGTATATTGTGGCTTACTTAGCTCCTCAATCCAACCCTCAATTTGTGTGCAAATCTCCTCTCGCTTTAGCCAAAAGTGTTTGTGAATCACCTGAAATTTTTTTATGGTTTTGAGGGCTTCATTTTAAGGGCGTCATTTTAAAATTTAAACTTACATCTGTGAAGCAGGGACTTGGATTCCGTATTTGCTCTAACATTGCCCAACGAACGCACGCCTGATAAATATTGCTGTTATACTCGCGGGACGAATTGGTGCCGCTGGGTGTTCCACGACTGCGCTCAAAACCCGGTTCATTAAAGTACGGCTCAGGCACCAATATCAGGGACTGTATGGAGACGAGAACCTGCAGAAAACTGGAAGTTTGTGCATTCCATTTCTCCTCGGGTCGTCCGTGCCAGGTGTTAAGAACTGACAGACAAACTTTGCCATCGTTGTAGAGATTGGGATTAAACCGTACCGAATGACGACCTGTGGTCTCTAAATTGATGAGCATGGGCAAGTTGGGATAGTCTGGTGGAAAGAATACATCAAATTCGAAGCAGCCGTTGGCATACGGCGTGTCCGCCGGACCAGTTATTAGCACCTAATAAGTAGAAATTAATGATCAGATCATCAATATTATAAGATCTTATACTACCTTCATTATGTCCAATCTATCCGTATCACAGCGCACAAAGACAGAACTACTAAAACTTAGCGGCAAGCTGGTAGATAGCGTGACTGCTTCCTGCGCCAACCGCTTGACACGCGAGGGATGATATCGATCGCCGGCTAAACGAACCATTTTCTCAAAATGATGTGAAACAACAAATCGAAAACTGTTGTTGTCCGATTCCACAATCATATCGTATGTATCGAACTGGCGTTTTTTCATCAACTCCAGATAGCGTTGCTCAACTGATTTGCTGAGCGGCCGATCCAATGAACCCATGCCATCCTCATGCGTATGCAACATATTAATGAGAGCATCTGCATCGGTCGTCTTCTGGACGAGCACGCATGTCTCGTGTATATCCGGTATGAGCAGCGCAAGGCCCTCGTCATCGCCATCATCAATGTTAAAAGTCAGCTGATGAGTTTGGCCTTTAATGTTGGACTTTTTGTTGACCCTGTTGGCAGAAAAATGCTTAGTACTTTTAATTATTATTGACCTATGAGTGACTCACTTAAGCCGCTTGGCATACGTATCAACGCAGGTCTTCATGTTTTTTAAAAGCTCCGCAATTGGTGGTGTACATTCCCCGCTAACATTCGGCTGTAGCAACGAAACCAAATTCTTAGATAGGGAAAGCGCACGCAGCAGCTTTAAAATGGCACGATAGAGAGGAATGTGTCGTGTTATGTCTAAAACTGAATCGTTGCGCAGGTAAGAGCTAAGCGCTGGTATGAGACACGACTGCTGCAGCAAAGTCTGGAAAATTGGCGGCAGGTCGCCAGTGACAGTACGCACATCGTGGTATGCGAGTATATCCTCTCCGCGCATATCGCTGGGTATGCAATCCCCGGGGTTGATATAACTTGATAATACCAACAACAGCACCGTCACATGCTCTTCCTCACTCTTCTGGCGCAAAAGCGCCTGCTCTACGTTCCACGACTGTGTCGTAGAGCCGGTGCCAAATCCAGTGCCCTTTGCCCAGTATATGTGGCTTTTATCATCCGACGTCGCCGTACTTGCCATGGGTTCTTCTGCAGTGCTACTTTTTGCGGCTGAGCCGTTGCCGTTGCCGTTGCCATTGCCATTGCTGTTAGCACTAGATGTTGGCTCGCTTATCAATGCACCAATCTTGTTATTATGGGACTGATGCGAAAAGATGCCAAGACAGTTGAGCACAAGATGCATGGCTCCTACTTCAATAACAACACGGCGCAATAGCACGCCGTCATCCGTGGAGAGCGACACACTATCGAGCAGCTGGCGGAAAACCTCAAACGGCAATGTTGGTAAAGATGGTGCCAACGAAAGGCTATAGATGTCATCTGTAGAGCAAGCAGGATAGATTAGCAAATAAAAAATTATATGTAATGAATTTGCTGCACTTACTGCCATCGCCATCTCCGGTAACGCCTAGTACGAGTCGCAGGAGGCACTGGGCACGCTGTTTGTCCCTAAGCAGAACATCGGAATAGGCAGGCAGCCGTAGGAAGAGACCAAAAGCGGCCAATGAATGTTGCGGTACAGAACTAACAGTAATTTGTTTAGCTGCCGGCTCACAAATGGTGTCCTCCAGATCTTCGTAAATCTCGTCATTGGGCTCTAGCTTTACCCAATCGGAGAGTGGTAGGCTCTTCTCCTTTTCAGCCGCTACCGAAGTGGCTTTTCGGCCCATGTGTTCAGGATACACAGTAGGCAAATAGTGTGCTAGCAGTGATAGACCGCCACTGCTGGAAAATCTTTGTAACGGAGACGGCAGTGGCTCAGTGCAAACAGCCTTGATTTTCTTTGATTCGATAGCTACATCTCCCAACGAACGCTGGTGTACCAAATCCAATGAAAGGCAGGGTGAGGATAACGAGTGACCAGCATCCTGCAGTGTGGCCAACACCTGCGAAATTGTGGCGTCACCAGACAACAGTATATCCGGATAATCTGCTACAACTAACTGGCTGCCAATACCAGCATGTGCCGCTTGCAGTAGAAACTCCTCAATATTAAAGGTATCTGTAAAAAATATATTTTAATATTTGACTGCGATTTATGTGCGTTTATTTATTTCACTCACTAATGGGTAGCAGTTGCATGCCTGATGTTTGGGTCTCCTTGTCTTTATTAACTGCTGCCTGGTTTTTGGCATCCTTGATGCGCTTGTCCTTAGCCGCCACCGCAGCCCCAACAGTTAGAAACTCCATGCTGCCTGCGTCCATATTGTTAAAGTTAATGAAGCACGACTTATCGAGCTTGGTGTCGTTTGACTTGGCAGCAGCTGAAATACTAGCTGAGCCATCACCACCAGTGCGCTGATCTGTTGGTTGTTGATACACTAAGTTACTATAAACTATGGTATCAAAAAT